CGAGAGAGATATACATTTTCACTCGAACAAAAGTTCAGGGCTGGAATGTGTGTGGGAATGAAAGTACAGGGTTTCTCAACATGTAAATATCCGTTTGTATACTCATTGAAGTATAAGAGTCCAAAAGTTAAAAACGAGGCTTGTGAAATTTTGTAATAGAATATATATCGTGGTTTAGAATTCGCAAAATACCGTTAAACGAACACTATACATTACCCCTCATCACGTTGGCAACTTTGCACACCTCTGTGCAGTCAAGAAGAGCTGGTATGGTAAACATTTGTCGAATCAACATTCAACAGTAGCAGATATATTATATAAACTACAACAATAACAAAATCCATATATGTTTGTAGTGGCATCGCCAAACAATTTGCCAAAAGTCAGCACGCTGCGCATCGCATATCCAAGTGAATGCTTGGAATAATAATTATGTATGTGTCGCCAAATCGATAAATGGAAACAAAAGATAATAAAAATACAAAATGATATACAAGTATGTATGTGCACGTATATCCGTACAGTATGCAAGTATTCGAGACTATGAACATTGTATTTTTTTATAGTTTTGTAAATTTGTAATTATTATTGTTGTTGCTGCTGTTGTTGTCAGTTTTGCGGTTATGCGTATTGTGTCGATGGTGACGAAAACATGTGGATTAACAAGACATTAGCAGTAGAAATATTGGTTTAGCAACTAAGTCTACAATGTACATGTTCAACAACAACAACAAGACAGCAAAACGTATTCGCATTCCAGCGGAGGAAATTACGTGACGGCGAGCTGGCGGCAAGATCGCTGTGGAACGCCTGCCGCAACGCTGTATTTGCATGCGCACTCGTTTAGCTAGCAGGCTGGCTAGTTGCTAGAGGATGCCTACACTCCTTCATACAACATATGAGAGTATATTGTATTATATGTATATATATTTTTATATTTTCTATATTTTTGCGTGCGCCACGCTTGTCGCCCATTGCTATGCGTGTCGCGTGATGATTTTGGTACAGAGATTCTTCTTTGCCCGCAACACTGATTTTATTTTCGCAAGTTAGTAATTGTGTTTGCGATTTTAACTCTTTATTTTTATATTGTTGATATAAATTATACACAATGTCACACTGCATATGAGTGTTTGTATGTACGAGTACATATATATATTATATTGTGGTTTTAGCTGAACTCATATCTGGGCAGTTTGTTCAATTTTCTTTATTATGATTACATATGTATGTATGTATGTATGTATGTGTGTAAGTATGTGTCTGTCATTCGGCTATGTATTTAATTGATTTTGATCGACAGCTGACATTTTATGTCGCTACTGTCAAGTACTGATTTCATATGCAAAGGTGTCTCCAGCAGCTTACATTCTTCGTGGCTTCAATTCTCATTTTTACAAATGTATGTAAGTATTTCTACTCACATACTCAGGTTTATAGACGTAACACATTAGATGTGGTTTATAAAATTAAATTTTGCAAGATATTCAAGATATCAGCTAACATTAACCGTTCGAATCAGTACATTTTTATTTTCAAGATAAAAAGCATATCAGGGCTATCAAGGAGTCCAAGTCGTCGTCAGTCTGGCATTCAGCAATTTTTATACCATGAACAGGGTATATTAAGTTTGCCACGAAGTTTAACACCCGAAAGAAAACGTCAGAGACCCATAAAATATATACATATATGATCAGCACGATGACTGAGTTTATTTAGCCAGGACCGCAGCGTTATTTAGCGTTTCGCACCTGTCGTTTTCTCACTAAGAAGCTGTTCATTTGGTGTGGCCGATATCGGCCACTATAACATATAGCTGTCATACAACTGAACAATCGGAATCAAGTACTTGCATGAAAAATTTTTCATTGACGGTATCTTAACGAAATTAGGCATGTGTTATTTCCTAAGGCAGCAATGTGATCTCGAAAAATTGTTTAGATCGGATCACTATAGCATATAGCTGCCATATTAATATATACTTGTATATGCTATAGAGGTCCGATTTGTACAATTTGTTCGCAGATTATATCGTTGCCTTGGACATAAACAAGTAAAATAGTTTTTATACGAATCCGGCAAATGAGTTCCTTTTTAGGAGAAAGGACGTGATCGATATCTCAAAAACCGAGGACTATTGCATATATACAAACAGACAGATGGACGAAGGAAATGGCTAAATGCTAGCCAGACTGATCACTTATATATACATATATTTTATAGGGACTCCGATATTTCCTTCTGGGTATTACAGACTTCGTGTCAAACTTAATACATCCTTTTCAGATATAATTATTACAACATACTTTTCATATATGTTTTTGATTGTGATTGTCTAACTTTATTCCAATCCTGCGTTCAGACATTTACTTTTTGTCGTCATGGTCGGCAAATTTTTAGTCACACTAGCGACACAAGTTGCATTTTCGTTCATATCACATTTTAAATTCTTGTTCACTTCAAAACAAAAAATGATTATACTTGAAATTTATTATATATTTTTCACCGAAAACTAGATATTATATATTTTCATAATTGGAAAGTGCTATTGCAACCATGGAAGAATTTCAAAATAAAAGGATATGCCGAATTTATATGCGGCGGCGTGCCAACGAGTACGAGCAGCAAGGTCTCGTCGTCTTTCCTCATCGTCCCTTCACCTACAAAAACCGGTTTGGGCGACAAAAGAGTTCTCGTGTCAACATAGTCTAAGCAACACCTTTGGTTGAGATATCTCGCTCTTCGACCGATATATACAGTATAAAACAAACGAGAGAGGAACGTTAATGTATATTTTAAATGGGACAAAGAAAAGTTTGGAAGGAATATTTTTGACAATTAGAAAGGAAATAAATATATATGTAGAATGAAGTCATATATGTAGAATGAAGTTCGACAGAGGAACAAACATCGTTGAATAACAAAAGTGAGAGAAAGTGTTCGAATAATTAGTAACTTAATTAACAACTTTTATTACAACTAAAGGAAAATAATTAACTATATATTTCTTTATAATTCGAAGAAGTAACCACATCTATATACGCGCATTGGTAATTAGGTGGCACAACACCACGTCTTTAATCATATTCGCAATAAAAATTCTATTTTGCCTGAATTGTGATTTTGAATAAGAATTTTGACAGCATTAGGTGAGACATACTTTTCCATGTGAAAGAAACTAATAAAAACATAAAATAACACTCAGGTACTAAATATGGATATACAGCGTCTACAATAAAGATGAAAGTGATTTTGGAGCTCATGGCGGCATGTTTGTTTACGGATTTGTGTAAATTTTGTCAGTGTGGTCAGTAAGGATTGCTATCATGCCACGTTTTGTTGGTACAATATTTGAAGTTGTCCAAGATTTTTACATTCTGACTTAATGGCTTTCGTTCAACAAACAAAGTGTCACTATTGGGGTAAGTCAATTATCGTGTGTGTTCAGGAAACGCACATGCGTCCCAATGATTGAGCATCATTTTGTTCAAATTATAAATGGCATACAACTATCTGCATAACAAACAACAGAACCTAACCAAACAACAGAACCATATATGATAATATTATTGACTGTTCAGCTTAGTTCATTTTTGAAATGAAAATTTTAAATTATATGTCTGGTATGTATATATAAGAAACTTGAATATTCGGTTCATTAATTGCTCGAAAAATCGAAGAGTCCTAAAAATATTTCTAAATTTGTTCAATTTAACGCATTCGTGTGATTGATTTCTGTTGAAACGTAGGTATCCAGAAATGTTTTCAAATTTGTAAATATTTCCCCATACCTGATTAATCATTAATTCAGGTAAGGTACAAATATACCAGAATATAACTCCCACTGTAAAAGCTTTTTATAATTTCCAATAACCTTAGGATTAAGGAAAAAATTGGTTTCACATTCATTATCTCAAAACATACTTTCATTTTCGTTGCTTTTGAAAAACTCTCTAGTCACACACATCTCTTTTTGTTTACCCATAAATTAGACAAATTCTATTTCTGCTGCGTCCGTCGTTTATGCTTGTTTCTTCACGCTTCGTTTCAAATATAATTTGCACTAGATTTGTTTTGTTTTAAATCTTACGGGCACAAATGTTTTCCACGCATTCGTCACTACGTTTAGAAAATAGTCCCTTTTCTCCTGTGAAAGCTCTTTTCAGCACAACTCACTATGTCACTTTGTATATTTGCCTTTCGTGTTTGATTATTCCGAAAACGTACGAAAACATATTTTCGCTAAATACTCCCGTTAACTTTGATTTAATTTCAAAAATTAGAATTCAATCACGCCTGCCACTAGCACAAAACAGTTCACGCCGAACTGTTTACTCGTCGCCAAAACAAAAATGAAAATAACTTAACGTCAGCTCCAACGCTGAGCGTATTTAGGCGAAAAAAGTTTTAGAGCGCACGCTGTGAGCATAATTTTTGGGCGCTCAATAGCTAGTCAGCAATTCAAATAGGTGGCTAATCAAACACCTTGCTGCCAGTTCACTCCTCACGGCGCGTCTCAATTTCTAAGGCAATGTTGCCGTCCGCTATGCGTGTGTGTTGTTTTAATTTCCATTCGAATTTGTATTTGAATTTGGTTTATTTGCGACGCTCGTGTTTTCGATTCAAATTGGCGTTCACGTTGTTCGTTGCCTACTGTTCGCCAGTGCCGCTGCAACGCTTGGCGATCGCTATCTCAATATGGCGTTGCCAATTGCGCACTCTCTTCGCGCGCGCGCCTTTTGAACACGATTGCTCAATCGGCCATATCGCCGATGGCGATGTCGTTGACGATGTCATGTGCTTGTTGTAGAGTGCCTAAGAGTGCGATATGCGAAAACGCTTACGCTCTTCCTACGACATTGCCGAGCAGATAATTTGCAAAGATGTTGCCGATCTGCTACATAAGAACGTGCAAAACGAATAAGTTGCGGCAGCATTTTCAAGCGCCAAGCCCTCTACTTCTTGTGGCCGCCTAAGTACTATGTTTGTATGAGGAAGCTCATGATGCGTTGTGCGAAAGTCGTCGTCGTTCCTAATTCTTGGCGCATTGGCATTTGGAGTTGACCGCATTCTTTTGCATCAAAGCGGAAGAACAAAGAGGTGATCTATGCAGGGCGAAAATATTTGTGAAACAACTTTATCGTTTGTTCAACTCGGGATCAGTGGAGTTTATCAGGTCCATGTGAAAATTTGGAATTATGTGAAGCACGATGGCACGTACAATATAACATACGTGGGGCATATGTTTGTGTGTGTACAAATTTGGAGAGCTACGTGAATGGAGTTTTAAATATTTTCCGGGATATTTTTATACTCTTGCAACATGTTGTTACAAAGTATAATAGTTTTGTTCACCTAACGGTTTGTATCACCTGAAATAAATGGAGAGTTATAGGTTTATATACCATGCCTACTTCCCATATAACACAATTTTAAATCCATGTGATTCTTTCAGTTTCCAATATTTAAATCAAGAACAAATCAGTGTATCGGCATACAACTTTGCGTATAGTGCCTTTGAAGGACCTAACTTAATTACCAAAAATTTTTCAAATCCTATCCAATACCTGTACGCCATAAATGGGTTGAGTCGGATCATTAATTCTCTTAGTCCTCATACACTTCATAGAAAATTTTTCGAACTTCCGGCTGTCTTTACTCCTTATATATTGGAGATGGTATGTGAAGCACCTTAAAACATGATGAATTTCGATCCTCTAGTTGACACTGAGTTCCACAACAACTCAAAATTAGTCTTTTTGGTTGAGCTTATATCACATGCTCTCTCAATTTTTTTTCTCAAATTTGTACATCTGTCGTGAGAACACATGCAAACTTACAAGTCATTGTGTCAATTAATTCTTTGTTTACAAGCCATTTGAAGTTGACGTGTCAGAGTATTTTTTTAATAAGAAAAAAATTTAATTTTAGTAGTCAGTGATTAGATTCTTTGTTTTGAAAGGTTTAAAAGCAAAGGAAATTTATGAATAATTGTTAGAAGTGTATAAGGAGTCATTACCTTCAAAACGCATTACCATTTTTGGGCTGGTGAATTTAAACGAAGGACGAAGCAACCACACAGCAATAATTGAGCAAGTTTATAACTAATGCCATAGGTATCTCAACGAGTACTTAATATTGTACATGGAATTACATATGAAAAAGCTGTTTGGAAAGTTAGTGCCGCACACGTTAACAATTCAACAAAAAACGAATCGAAAACATATTTCTCACCATAATTTGGAGCGTTTCAAGCAGATTAAAACCGATTTCATGTGTTGTCTTGATCCTAAATTGAATGATCTTAAATTGAAACAAGAACGTTTACAGTGGACTGAAGCTGCTTGTTCAGCTTCAAAGCAGGTGAAGTCACAACGATCAGCAAAGACGGTTATGGCATCAGTTATTTGGGATGCAAAGGAATTTTGTTGATTGACTATCTGCAGAAAGGTAAAACAATCATCTCTGAATATTATTGCAATCGTTTGGATCAGCTGGATGGAAAAATTGGTGAGAAGAGACTTGGTTTGCATCACAAAAAAATAATTTCTCATCAACACAATGCACCTGATCACAAAGGTGTTTTAACAATGACAAAATTCAACGATGAAAGTACGAATTATCCATCGTGTTTACCAGATTTGGCCCCCAGCGACTATTACCTCTTCAAAAACCTGAAACAACTCCTTCGTGGAAAGCGTTTTTCGTCAAATGAAGAAGCTAATACAGGCGTAGACGGCAGAACGTATTTTGCAGAACTTCCGGTCATTGGAATAAACGTATGGAAGTTTAGGGAGATTATATTGCATAAAAAAATATATTTCATTATTATTTATAATTCTCGTTGAAGCGATGTAAAATATAGTAATTAAACTAAGGTAGTCTATGACTTAGAATATAACTTAATAAAATACTCAATTTAAGTGTAATCTATTCAGAATTCCGTCGAACAATGAATGTTGAATTCTTTCGCAACAATTTTTACCTGTAGGTTTTTTTCTAATTGATCTTTGCGAGTTACAAGAATACAAAATGTTCGATTACACCCGAACTTGGCACTTCCATACTTTTTATATAACTACATACATATGTACATAGATAAACGGATGTACTGATTGATTAAATATTACAGTTTGTTCTTTTCTTTTGAGAGTAGTTCTTCACCAATATTGAATAAAAATTGCCATTATTAAAAAATTAATAAAAACAAATTTTTCTAAATCTAGTAGCTGTAATTTTCACGAAAAATATAATCTTGAGGTGTTTTTATCTGATAATAAAGCTCCAAGCTTTTTATTTAAAGGTGGGGGTGCTTTTGCAATTACCATGAGATTGTTAAACGAGTTTGGCAACTAAACGCTTGGGAGTCGACTGTATAGATATAATGTACTTCATGTTTACTTGTTACCCATTATTATCAGCGATCAATTTTTGGCCATTTTACTTGTATGCTTTGGATAGTTGTCTTGTCAGAAGACCACAACCGATGGCATTTTATCACTAGCATAAGTCAGTTATGTCAGTTTTGACATAACCGAGCCAAGCCATAACAACCATGACCCAGTTTATTGGTTCTACGCTATAAAAAGCATGCCCTCACCATTGTGATTGTCCGACCGTTTCTAACAATTATTATGCAATGTTTTGGATAAAATTCAGTTTTGGGCGGTCTTTTCACGTAGTGTCTAGAACCTTTTTCCTCAAACAGAATGTTTTTAGATTCATCTGATAACAAGATGCTGCGCCATTTTTTTAGTAAAGAGTCTGTATCGTTTTACAAATTGAATCCGTGATGCTTAGCTTTTATTTGTATATGTATTCGCGCTGTGTATTATTAAGTTATTATGTGTTAATAGTCGAACAGTAGTTTGTACACTTATATTCAAACTCAGCTCATCCTTTATTTTAAAGTTTAAGCTTGAGAAACGATGTTGTCACGTGTATAGAGTTAGGTGTAGTCAGCGACATAGAAAAAATTCAATTCCAGTAAATTATTTTATAAATGCAAACACAGAACATCATTAAATAAGGTTAAGACAGAGAATGTTAATAAATTTATTTATTTAATTATTAACATTCTGTTTGCACCTTCTCTATTCATTAACATTCTCTGGTAATAATTGTCATATAGCAAGGACAAGAACCGTGGCACTCTCTTATCGACATAATGAGATATAATTAATACAAGTTAAATAATTAACTACAAATAAAAGTCTGAACTGTTTTAAACATTAAATAGCATTGGAATGCTAGAACTATGTCTAAAACCTTACCTTAAGTGATTTTAATATTTTATTATTATAAATAAAACTATTTTAGAAATAATATATGACCAAAGGTTTATTAATTGATGTTCCCATGTTTATATTGAACAAACACCTGTGCATATGTCACCCAACCCCATTACTGTGCAATATGGCAACATTGTGCCACCACCTTCATTTAGCGCAATCAAGTAACCACCGCTCGCCGCAATTCGCGTATTCAATGAATTGCATTGCAGTAGATGGTCGGAATTTCTTGCGGTTGTAGAGAGTAGAGGAATTTTAATTTTTCTAATTTGTATTGTTTAAAGTGAAAGGCTAGATTTAATTACTTTAATAAATAAACAAGTCGTTTAAAACTATCGTTAAAGCAAAAAGCGAAAGTGAAGCCCTAAGTGTATAACTGAGTTCGGTGAACAAAATTTTATCTATTGCGTTGTGATGTAATCGCGTGTGACTTCGTTCAACCCACATTTTTTGGATCTAGCAGATGATTCCTCAAGTGTTACTTCATTTGATTGTTGTATTGTTTTGGTGCGTTGTAGGCGGCAAATTAGCTTGTAAATAGTAAATAAATAAACTACCTTAACCTCATTTGGACATAACCTCGTAAATATTGTTTGGAAATGGAATTTTTGTTCGATTAATTATAGTTGGAATTTTGTTAGTGATGTTGGGTAGGCAATGATATGCAACTCGACTTCAATAAGCGGCGGCCATTGTCGATAATGCAGTAAAAACTACAACGAGAAAGGCTAGAAAGAGATCACTGATGTCATAAAATAAATGGGACTGGAAAAATTGCCAGTGCTACCGACTGTTTGAAAATATGTACTTAATTGGAATACGATATTAATGCCAATTAATTAAAAATAATTTGCAATAATTCATTTTATTAACTTCATATTCATAGATAAATATTTGGAAAACATTTAAATTACTCTTTTAACTCAGCAGATTTAAATTGTAAAAATAAATATAATTTGGTTTTACCGGTTACGAATTATTGGCAACGTTGAAATTGTCTCGTGGTTTATTTTTCCAAACCTTATTGGGGGTTTGGATAAGTTAAATTAATTGTTTATTTTGTGTTTGCATTGCTGTTATTACAGAATTCGTTGTAAAGTGTCAAAAGCAGATTAACAGTGTAATGGATAAGCAAACCTTTGGCATTCAATGGATACAAGATCGGGGTGATCTTAAAACAACCAATGGGCAACTGATTGTAAAGCCACAAATACCGTCTGAAGATGATCTGGCTCTGGCCAACGATGAAAATGGTGCCGACAGAGGGGTCTATCACTTGGTCACTGGTAATGATGATGATGGCGGTATACCAAATGAAGTTGACATTGATCAAATAGCTGCTGAAAACTTAATATTTATG